GTGTAAACACAGGCATTGTTATGGGCACTCTTTTCCCGCCTCGTGTCTTTGCTCCCCATGGCGATCCAGAGCGCAGAGAGGTACAGGGCTGGAGACGGTCCAGTCTAGTGGAGTTTATGTTTTAGAACTACGCAGACTCATTTGCAACGAGTTTATATGACCACCCCATCATAGTGCAGGCTGCAGAGTGTGATTTATGTTCTCGATTTCTCTCCCTTGCACTTCTCGCTCTCTCTCTCTCTTTTTTTTTTTTTTAACTGGTTCACTTTTCACTGCTTGGCTCCTTAAGTGTGGTTTGCGGCCGTATGCTTCGAGAAGTTGCAGCTTTTTGACTATTATTTTTAGAAAAGCAGCAGCAGTCATTTTACTGTACTGTGCCCACTTATGTCAACAGCGTAGAGCCAATGTACGATGTTTTTGTACTATGACGATTGGATATGTACGGAGGCCCTCAGCAGACATGCAACCATACATTTGATTTACTGCATTTTCCAGTTATTACAAGTTATTTTCAGTCCTTCTCTTGAAATCATGGACTTATTTATACATCACCATTTTTAACTGTATTTATTTTCTGGGTTTGTCTACAGTATTATTGACTTATATGTGTTGCATATTTGCTCCATCTTTATGTATTATACTGAAATTTGCATTGTCTTTAATTTTGCAGCTTGTTTCTCCTTATAAAATCTTTCGCCTGTTTTGAAAAATACGTACATACTCGATGTCAATTAAGCGCACTTTTAAATGTGTGTAGGCACAATGTGTGTATATTTCTATTCATGCACATGTAGCTGTGAGTTTGCGTGCATGGGTTTGTCTTAATTATAGCTCCCTTCATTTAGTATAAATGCCGTAAAAAGAGTGTTTATATGTGTCACATGATGGCGTCTCTCAGCTGTGACCCTGGGCCACATGTGCAGCCAATTAGGGCCAATCAGAAGGCTGTAATCAGGGCGTGGCGTGGCGTGGGGGGGGGGAGTGTTAAGATCTGTGATTAGTGTGTCAGGCCTGATGAGGGAGGATGGGGCAGAAAGGCAGAGAAACTCTTAATTTCTCTGCGTTTTCCTCCACCATGTGGTGAGTTCTGTTTATTTAGTTTATACCAACCAGACCGCGAGAAAATGGGAGTTTCAAATTCTTGGGTTTTTTATCCTATTTATGAGACAGATTGGTGCGGTTTGCCACATGGGATGATGCAATTACAGAGAGGTATTTAAATGTAAGACCATATGTTTGAACAACGGGCGACTAATCTGACACCGTATGAACTTTCCTGCTGTCTGTCAGGTGAGCCAGTCTGAGCAGATTTAAATAAAGACAAGAAATCATTTACTACCTTCAATAGTCTGGAATTAACCTCAGGACAGAAGGGAACCACATTTGAGCAAGCTCTTTGAAGTCTGTGAGTTTTAGTAGAGCAACTCTGCATTAAGGTTTCATTAAAAACGTGTTCTCTCACTGCATGAATGTTCCCTAAAGCTCTGTCTCTCTTTAAAAGAAGAGAATAATGTACGTATGAGTACTTGAGTGTGACTTTGTATACTCTGACCTTAAGTGTTACATGACTTATTGAGGGACACATACCTCTTTTATGCTAGAATTAAATCAATCATGTTTTACCTAATGTAATACTTTTACAGCTTAATGTTGTCATTTGTAAAACACTCAAACCTAAACTAATCACTTTTAAAATGTTGCATTCCAGTCTTAAAAGTTTTTTTTTTTTTCCAACTGCAGACAAACAAACTAAATTTGATAGTCTGAAATTGTAAAAAAATCACCGGGTGTGATGTATGATTTTTTTGTGACATAAAACGTTCTTGCATACATGCCACACTTTTGTCTTCCAGCCCTCTTCAACAATTCACATTTGGAGTACCAAATATTCTAGGATACCTGCGAGATCAGATGACATTGTTCCAAACAGTGATGACAGAAGACCCTTTTACATTGCAAGTCTGCAAGAGCAGCATTTAAGCTCCGCCCTCTTAACACTGTTGTACTTATACATTGATTCAACAACAAGGTGATATTGTTGTCCCTATGTATGATTTCACACTGTGTTACGTTGTTGCGAGATCAGCAGGTGCTCCACATACACACAAACTTAGACATGCACAAACACACACAGCGCTCTGACGTTAAACATTGCCAAACTCTCCACCCTGTTACACCGTTGTTACTACCTCTGATGGCAAATCAGGAGTGGATCGACTTCCAACCATTCGGCCTCTGCATGTTGCACATTGCAGGCCGACTAAAACAGGGGTGAATATATCCCATCTTGAACTGGCATTGTATAAGGGACTAAAAGGCCTTTTTATTACTCTCAACAGTTCCATCAGTCTTGCTCTAATAATAGCACGTTCATGTCGCAATGGTGATGTAAGTGCAATTTATTTTATGTAGCTATAAACCAATACTACTGCAAGTTAATCAATTGGTTATCGAAATATCACAGAACAATATAATATTCAAGTTGTAGTGCAGCTAAGGTGTGTGTGCAAGTGCCATGGACATTAACACAGCTTGTCAATCTTTAATGTCTATAAACTCATGAGGGGAAATATTTTATGTCATAAAACAATCTGAAGTACTGTACAGTAAATGTCTGCAGTCAAAAATTCATATTCAGCCTTTTAATCATTGCTTACAATAGGAAAGTTCTTGTAATAGATCCAGGTCATAAATAGTATCCAGTGGAGCGCAGCTTTGTGAGGTCTGCTCTGCTGCTTCCTGCTCTTTGATTGACTTTTGGACCTCTGCCAAAATTGGTTTTCTGGAAATTTGATCTGTGTGTTTATTCATCGGCATTTAAACAAACGGTCTGTTTTCACCAGAATTACATGTCATAATTTTACTATTAGTGAATACTGATGTCAGCAGAACCCCTCCTGTTATTATTCGTCATTGCTGATTAGTTTGTGCAGAGCAATGGAAATGTAAGAATGGCCAATGGACAGATTTCATCTGTGCAGCTGTAAATCATGACTGATCTGACAGAGCAAACACACGGTGACTAGAGCGCGGCCCGGCCTCCAAAACCACATGTGAGCGGGCAGGAATGTATAGCCCACTGCATTGTGGGTTTGTGTCAGGGGGAAAGAGTGCAGACTCCCTGACTCACAGTACACTGTGAGGTTTGGGGATGTGAGAAGGTGAGGAGGAGGAGGAGCGGGCAGCAAAACTTTCGGGAATCAAAGTGCAAGGTCATGAGGAGTGTGTGAATCATGCTGTTTACAACTGTCTTGTTCATACCATAGACTGTTAACATGGACATAGTGTCAGTGACATCCACCATTGATGTCTGAACATGACCTTTGAAGCCCATCGGTCGTGGTTGTCTCATTTGGAAATGCTGTCTCAAACTAACGTTTTGTCAAGCTAGTTATAGACAAAGAGCTGAAGCTGAAGCCCGGCTGTCAGTCAGATCAGCCACCCCTTGTTGTGAATAAAAGTTATAAATTCATAAAATCAAAACAGATGAGTTAATCAGCCCGTGTACAGTGTGTGCTGATAATGAAATTAGCTATTCAGACCATATTTGATTTTTTTTTTTTATCATGGCTGTAAAGATGAGACTCAAGGAACTGCAGTTTGTTTGTAGTTCCACGCTTTATTTTTCAACATTGAAGATTTCTTCTTTGTTCAAACACATTTCCCAAACTGCAACTTCTGGAGTTGAAAAATTAAGCCAATGCAGAAGTGCCCCCCCCCCATGTTTTAGTCCATGTTTTATACAGTCTATAGTAGCTCTTACATCCCCATCACAATACTCTCTATTTTTACACTTATTTGATCATGTCCTTTGAATCATTTAAATGTAATCAATGAAAATCTCCATAGGCATGAAGGACCAACACTGACACTGTTGTCATACTACAGTAGGAAATATTGGACTTGCCTGTACGGTCTCAATAATCTTAGTCTATGTTGGAGCTGAAAGGCTTAATTCAACGTTTCAAACTAAATTGCAACTTTCTTAAGAAAAATTAAATGTTTCAGGATTTTTTTTCAAGCAAAAATGCCATAAATCAACTTGGCCCAGCCTCTTAAGTGTGTAATTTAGCTACGTTTTATGATCTATATAGGAAACTTTTGGTTTTGGCTTTGGGGAGCGTGTTTGACATAACAAGCAATTGAATCAGGTCCACTTCTGGCTTTGAGAAACTGCAATGGCAAGGAAATAAATTGTAAGTTGCAGTCCCAGTCCTAGAATAGAGCTGAGGAACACTGTCATAATTATCTGAATGGAAAAAAAATATATTTCAACCACAATCATTTTATGTATAAACAAGTTTTTATTTTTTACAAGGAACCCTCTCATTTGGATAGTTAATTAGGAGCTGTAACATATACCAATAAATTATATGAATCATATTTATATGATGATATATGATATGGCTTCTTCTGAATAAGAAAAAAGGTCTCATTGCACTGAGACTCTGCAATTCCTCTCATCTTTAGAGGCGTTTTAGTGTCTTTTGAGTGAATATAAGATATGTATTACATGGCAAGAAATACCACTCCACATAAATACAAAGGCTGCTCTCTGTGTGTGTTAGATTTGCAAAATGGAAACTTTTTGTGTATTATTTTTGTATTTACAACTTTTTCTCTTGACAACCATTTTGAAAAAAAAAAAAAAAAAAAAAAAAAAAATCATATAACTGTTAGAAATGTTTAAATGTTTAAAAAAGATTCAAACTGGAAATTTCAAAATATACACAAAGGTCAAAAACAAGAGAATACAGCCTGTGACACAGCATTACTTTTGAATATTTCTAGACTTACTGGTTCTTCTTAAACTATGAGATCTATACAAAGATTTCCTCATTCACATTTCTGTCTGCCTTTATGAAGAACTAAACCAGAAGTGATCAACCTCCTTGTTAAATTTGACGTAATCTAATTTGTCTAATGTGTCTTTTTTTTTTTCTTGTTTCCCCTCACCCCTCCCCTCCCCTCCTGTCCCCGACCTTCTCTTGTCTTTGAAGTTCCCAAGAAGTTGCTCCAGGAGCAGGGACCCAGACCACCGGTGTTCTCCCCTCCACCCAGACCCCATGACCCCAACATAGTGGGAGACAGCCCTCCTGAGGGGAGCTCAGTCAAAAGCCCTGACTCTGTTCCAGGTGAGCCAAACGACAAACACATAAGCTTTTTCACTCTCGCCCCCTTCCCGTGGAGAGCAGTTAACACTGAACAGTCCTGAGGCCTCCCAGGCATCAAGAGAAACAGTAACTCAGGTCTAAAGTCAGGGCATATATGTATGTATATTTAAAGTCACACGAGTTCAACTGTTTCCATATGTAGCAGAGCCATGAGCCGTCGCTTTGGACCATTTATGATGATTGGTTTTAAAAATATACTGCTTTCCAAGAGGCAGTTATATGTGCCCACATTCTGCTATATGGTCAAACTCCCATAAAGAGAAAGCCGGAGGAGACAGAGGCAGAACAATGCAATGAAAGAGCGAAAACAAGGAGACGCCAGCGAGGAAGGAAACTTAAACAAAGCTTTATTCATGAGGAAAGGTGGCCTGTGTCCAGCACACTAAAGCACTCTTCTCGTCTACCGGCTCTGTACTAATTAGGAGGATAGACGGATGGACCGAGAGTTAGAGGAGAGGGGGGGGAGCGGACAGGAGATGTTTGCTGTCCAGTTGGCAACACATGAGTGGCTTCATTTCCTGCTCCTGCTTTATCCAGACAAACCTGTTTCTACCTCTGATGTCCTGATGGGGGATGAGGAATAAAAAAGAAGGGGAGATGAGGGAGGACTATGAAGGCGCAACAGTGAGTGTTGTAGTGTAAATATGCTGCGATGTCCCACATCCTGAGATTCTCTCTTCATTTTTCTCATTGTTTTCTGGACATGGAGGATGAAAAAAAAAAGGAAAATATTTTACTGCTTGGTTTTTATTCACGTGTCAGTCGGATCACATTTTGTAAAACGTATTTGGAAATATGCTCACGAGGGTTAGAGGACGAAATTGTTAAAAACTGTGCAAATCTAAGCTAATAGCTAATTAGCTTGCCACAGAGACTATAGAAAAGAGAGGGACAAACTCTGAGGGATGTGGAATCATTTCTTGTGCTGGGATCGGGGACATTCTGGAGACCTTTTGTCACCATCAGATCAGGGCATCAGAAGATCATCCACACAGTGTGTAGGCCTATTCAGAGTGCCGTCTCAAGCTGCGATATTTACACCCCACCCCTGTGACGTCTCGCCTTCAATCTGAACGTTACAGAGGCGTAACCGGGGGGGGGGGAGTACCTTCTTCAGAGGGAGCAGGGGAGCTCAGCGCTTCGGGTTTGTGCGTGTCTGACTGTGTGTGTACGTGAAGCTCCCGCTGTGCCGTGCTTTTCGGAATTCCGAAACACACCGTGAATTCATAAAGTGGGACACCAATATGACGCTGTTGAGGATTCATTATGAATGTAGAACTATTGCTGAAAACATAATTGTAATAATTCCCTGTAAAACCATACCTTTTATACACTGTATGTACAGTAATCACAGTAGTATCTATCTATCTTTCCAGCTTTTATCAAGGGAGTGACTAAGCCAAGATGTCAACCTTCAAAAGCATCAAATTCCTTTCATGACCTCTTTTTACAAAAACAGTCATCTTCAGAATCGTATATATTTTCTTCTTTGTTGTTCAACATAACTGTCATTTGTTTCTCATGGAAGTTTAACCTCAGCTTTTTGATGCCAACTGAGCGAACTATTCAAGTCACTCATTTTGATGCTTTTATATCAGCATCCATGAAGAGTTTTCCAAGTTCTCAGAGGAAACTTTGGGATCGTTAAAGTAGCTTAAATAGAACTTAATGACCTTGATATGTCCTTAGTGGCAGAATTAGATGGTAGAAACAGAAACAACTGTTAAACAAAGTTAAAGAATTTAAAACACAAGTTTCTATCGTCTCTGTATTTGGTCGTCCTAACGTCCTGTTACTGCGCTGATGTTTCTGCACTGTAAAAGCTCATCTATCCTCAGCAGCGTCTCTTCCCTGGAATATGTGGCCATCCTAATAAGTGTAAACGCCTGAATTAATCATGTGAAAAGAATTTCCTCGGAAAAGCTACATTTTCCATTCGTCTTCTGTGTTGATGTTGGGTTTTTTTTTTTTTTAGCACTGTGACTGTTTCCTGTTGACGATTTGTCTGCCTCTCTCTATGTGTGTTGAAGAGAGAGAGAGAGAGAGAGATTGTGGTTCTGTTGGCAGAATGTTACCTGATGTTTGCTTCACCGCAGCAGTGGGTCCAGGTGGAAACATTTACCTCCTCAGTGAGCAATTCCAGTCTAAACTGCATTTATCAGATAAAGTGAGCCTGACACACCTTAGACGCTCTGCAATTTGAGGTCATCAGTGTGTGAGTGTGTGTGTGTGTGAGACAGTTCAACAAAACATGCTTACACACACACTGACCAAAAATCATGCATGTAAACATGACTTTACTCACAGAATAAGAGCACTGCACTAAATGAGTTGTGTTTTGGGGTTTTTTTTCCCAGTGAGGCTTTGCTTACTCATAGAGCTAAAGTTACTGTAGTAACACCTAAACACTCCTTCAGCTTTAACTGGAGGCGACCGCTTGCTAAATGAAAGTAATCAAATCACTCTGCACTCCTTTGTTCCTTCAGTTGCACTCCTCCACTCCTGCACACACACACACACACACACACAACACACCGGCAGCATGTAAACACTTTCAGGAGCCACGCTGTGATGAACATCCAGAGACAGAGGAGGAAACAGTTGTTCCCGTCTATTAATAGTTTTCTGACATTTCTGGAGGGAGCTGTTTTGGATTGTTGCCAAAGTGCAAAGTCTTCCCATGTGCTTCTCTGTTTCTTAACGACCTGAGTCAGAATGAATCCTACACAAGCGGATGTTGTGTTATCTTCTGAATCACACAAGTCCCTGATGGGTGATGTATCCTTTCTGCAGAAGCACAATGTCCTGAAATGAAACCACACAGAGCTGACTCAATGGTCTGAATGCTGTAGTCACAATACCTCGGAGACAATACGCACTAACTTTACTGTAACTGACCGAAACAGTGGCGTCACCATCTGACTGTAAATGTGACTCCAAAAAAAAAAAAAAAAAACTGCTTCCTTATGTTAAACACATTCTGCTTAGTGATTTTAACTGAGCTGCTTTTACTCTGTTGTCTCATGCAGATAGGAAGAAGGTCAGGGAGACTAACCCGGACGAGGAGAAGTTTCCACGACCTGCAGAAGGAGTTGGACGAGGAGGAGGAGGAGGAGGAGGAGGAGGAGGAGGTGGAGTAGAAGGGGAAAGTCCACGACGCCCCCCAGACATGAACCCCATCATCAACTCCACCTCGAGCACCAACATGGCCCTCATCAGCAACGCACTGGCAGCCTACACTTACATATCAGGTAAGGTTATATTCCTTAAACTTAGCGAGAACAGGATCTACTTTTTCTGTTATCGTTCTCAACCGATAATGGGGCTTTTAGTGCACGCTTTCATGTGTGGCACATGTGTGTGGCATGCTATCTTTCTGGGTAATATCCCCCATTTCCTTTTTTCCTGGGACTGAAATGAGGGTAAATGTAGGCCAGAGGAATGCAGATGTAAGATAACAGCTACATACACACACACACTTTCAGTCACCTGCTTCAGCCAGCTGCTGTGGTACTTTGAATACTTCCTGCTTTAAAGCCGCAAATTCACTTCAATAAACAGCAACAGAGACGTACAGTTACGTTTTTGAACTGGTTGTGTTGGTTGAAGGCGACATGAAGGCGAAATTAACATCAAAAGGTTGAATCTGTGTTTGTTTGTATACTTCTTGCAGTTTGTAGAACTGTTGAATAAAAGCAATATCACACTCCAGGTTGAGATGTAGTAGCAATTAGCCGTGTTGATATTCAGTATAACAGCACTCCCTCTCTTTTGATATTGCTTAAATATTACACCATCAAAAGTATTTAATTACAACCCTCAAGTCACCATAACAAGATTTACTCGTATAAGAAAAATCTGAGACATAGTGGAAGATGCAGCCAGGGTTGGTTACGATAAGTCATACTTGTTTCAAAGGGAAATGAGAGATCAGTTTCAAAGATCCAATTAAATGTTCGACATGTTTTTGTAAGAAATTGACTAAACTAACTCTCCCCCCCCCCATGACAGACCACCCAGAGAGGGCCGCACTCTTCTTCGTCTGTGGCGTGTGTCTGGGCCTCTTCCTAACGCTCTTCGCCCTGGTGGTCCAGATCTCCTGTCGCACCGACTGCCAGCCCCGCCAGCGGCCTCCCGCCAAAAAGCGAGCCCGTCCCGCCGACTCGTCCTCGGATTCCAGCGACTCGGACTCGGACTGGGACACCACTTCGGACCTGTCCGCTCGACGGCACCGGCGGTTTGAACGCACGCTGAACATGAACGTGTTCACGTCGGCGGAGGAGCTGGAGAGGGCGCAGAGGCTGGAGGAAAGGGAGAGGATCATACGAGAGATCTGGATGAACGGGCAGCCAGATATTCCAGGGACACGGAGCCTCAACAGGTATTACTAAAGACTGCAAAGGGACTTGAACAAACTTTGGGATGCACTTGGCCCTTATGAAGCTTTACAAGCCAGCAGGCAGAAGTAACTGTGGACTCACGTTGTTGAGAGCAGTTTTTTTGCAGACTTGAAGAAACCCGGATTGCATATTCCTCGGGGTATCATAAGCTGCAAGGGAATAAGCTCCCTCTCTGCATGGTAAGCTCGCCTCTTAGCTGCCCTCTTTCTGCCGGAAGCAAGGGGTGAAAGGCTATGCAGCCTTGCCCATGACCTCAGCACGCCGTTTTTGAAGTGGGGATTTATGGGTAAGCTACGTTAGACACACACAGGCATGCAGAGACTACATGGTGTCTGAAGGACCAAGGCCAGATGAGTCTGTTTGAACTGCAGGAGCCCGAGACACTAGAGAGTTTTCTGCTCAGGAACCTCCAGTATTCAAGTGTGGACTTTAAAGAGAGAGAGAGAGAGAGAGCAGAAAACATTGGACTGGGCAGTGGGACAATCTAAGACAATCTTCAAGAAAAACCATGCTGCCTTTTGAACATTAATGAAACCAAAAGATATTTTTGAGAAATCATCTCAACCCTTATGAAATCTATTTTATAATATTTAATAGTTTATTGATGTTGTGTATTTTGTTTTTGTTCTCAAGTATGGTTTGTTTTATGAGATATTTTTATACTTATTGCGAAGGTTGTCTGGCACCTCAGGGATGCAATCCTAGTGTTTCTGTGTTTGGGTGATGTATTTGCTTCCTGAAAAAGGGGGATCGGCCCATTTAAACAGTGATGTCAGCATTTAAAGAAAAAGAGTTCGATCTATCTTATCTATAAAGAGCCTCAAAGAGGTTTTTAGTGATTCAAGCTTATTTTTGATACAGTATGTTTAATTCACAGTGCAGTGCCTTTTCTAGCAGTTAAAATGCTTTTGTCAATAGTGCAGCTGGTGTACAGTGTGGTCAAAGGAGTTATCAATTGGTTATCCCAAATGTAGCTCATCAAATGTGTATGCAAAAATTAGAAATATTTTCAGAATATAGCTATTTTGTGCCATTTAATTTTCTCGATTGAATCTACTTTTTTTTCACTCCCTCTTATGCAAATGTAAGGTCTCTTGTCTGTCGTGCTTTACTTTTAAAGATACAAGTGCAAAAGCAGATGCTCATTACGGTACTCTGGAGAAGGAACCAGAACTGAGAACAGTGGAAATGCAAAAACTTAAATCATGTTGCCAGTTTTATAAATAAGCTATCGTCAATCCAGTTGCGTACGTGCTGCCCTGGATTCAAGTGTAAAATAGTAAATAGATTTGAGAAGAAGGCTTGGTATTTTCCTGACTGAGAGTTTAATTGAGAGCACACAGGACATATTAGGGTCATCCACATAGAGTTTTTATAAAAGTCAGTTTTAAATGGGATTAAGTAGTGCCAATAGCTGGTAAATTGAGACCAAAATATGACTCCTGTGCTTGGAATAAACTGTGTTCAAAAATAAAACTGTTCTCTGTTTTGTTTTATTTTGCACATTTTTATCTTTTTGAAACAGCCTTGATTCCTTTCCTCCTATTCTCTCTGTGTGGCCAAGTCCACTGCATGTAGGATGCAGCTGGAGGAGGCAATGGAGAGGCACACATGCATGTCTTATACTAAACTATAGCCTAGTTATGATCTATAGTGATGATTGAGAAAAAAGAAACAGATCTCTCTTCAAAGTGATATATATCTTATACAAAAAGATAAATAAAGATTATGCTGTAAAAGGCATCTTGTGTGGGGCTTTTTATGAAGACTTATGGGCTGTGAGATTAGTGAGATGTATTGGTGTTGGTCGCCCTCTGGTGGTGAACATAGTGATCTTGCTTTTGCAGGCTATAAATTCAGCGTTGGTAAATAAAATATCGTTGATTTATAATACAGTCAATTACAACAATAGCAATTAACTGTCTTAATATCAAGTGAAATTAATTTCCTGTTTGAGAAGTAGGATAGAGACTTCTCATCAGAGAATGACACTGAAAAGTGGCTAAATATGGAAGATAATTCAGCCTTAGTTATTTTTTTTATGTTGTCAATATGTTGTTTTTTTTTAATTTGGATAATGATTTGTTTTACTGTTAGTAGTGTTTTTTTTTACTTAATTCCTTATCATAGAATTAAATTACAAATATTTGTTAGTTCTTGTAATTGTTGCCGTCGTCCCGTTTCCATGGAAACCACAAACTTTTAACTCGGTATCGGCTGCAGGTCCCTAGTTTTAAACGACCATCAACAACCGAGTTTTATCCACAAATTACGGCTATTCTTTTGTTTGACATTTTGTTCAGACAAGACGTCAAAGAGGACAATGTCGTGGAACTGGAATAGCCACGGGTTACCATTTTTACCAGGATACAGTTTCCCTGATGTAACAGTAAGGAATGAAGTTAAAACTATATAGATATATATATTTAAGATGAGTAATGTTAGACTTAAATAAGGGCCAGTATAAGATAATATTAGTTAAGAAAATTACTTTTCATCGTCTGTCACTATTTATGTTTATTTAAATTATACTTTGTCGGATATGTAGCTTCCTGCATTCCTCAAGTGCTAATGTAACTGATCGGTGTTTTGTTAATCAGGCCTGAAATAGGATGCTGCTAGTTTAAATTGCCATCTGCAGAGGGATAATGGCTTGAATTAAAGTCTATCATAAACATAGGATTTGTTAAATACAATTCTCTGTTGAAAACATTTCCAGTTTTATAATAGGCTACTGTAGCTACATCTCATTCATCACTTTTTTGTATCACAGTATTTGTGCAGACACAATCATTTGCTTTTGAATATAATACACTTACCATTTTTTTAGGTTAATACACAAGTAGTACTTTCTAAACTCAATTTTGAATCTCAAACCAGAGTTAATTGACTTCTCCTAAATGATGTTTCTGTACAGAAGTCAGCCTTCCATCGTCCTCAGACTCTGGACTTTAAGAATGGCTACGCTCTGCCTCGCCGTCCGGCTGTGGGCATTGGACAAGATCCCCTCCTGTCAGAGCAGCTGATCCAGCAGGAGATCAGTGAGCTGTCCTTTCAAAACCCAGATGCTACATATGGCTCCTTTAAACAGAGCCTAGCTGAAGAGTTCATCCCAGCTCATGTTGCCCTTGACAAGAAGGTAAGCTACTGTAACACTAATGAGGCCAGAATTCAAATACTTTAGCTCCTGTCCAACTAATAAGTTTGTCGTTTCTTCACCACAATTATGTCTTGTAGGTTCTCTACTTTCAAGCTTATTTTGAGGAAAGCGTACTTTACTCCCCTGACGAGGAGTACCGCATACGCCCCGTTGACATTTACTACTACCTTGAGGATGACAGCATGTGCATCATTGAGCCAGTGGTGGAGAATTCTGGGATACAACAGGGGAAAAGGCTCAAACGCCAGCAACTGCCCAAGAATGAACGTGGAGATCGTTACCTCTGGAAAGACCTCAACCTTGGCATGGAACTGGAGGTGTATGGGGTGAAGTACCACATCACACAGTGTGACCCTTTTACAAAGGTACAACACTCATCTGTGTTTATGCTCCTGCTTTGTTGTTAGCTGTGTATCTGGAACAAATGAGTGGATCTATCTCTCTCGTCGTTTATAGGAATTCATGGAGAGTGAGGGCATTGTACTCAACGGCCCTGTGCCGATGCCTGTGGACCCTTACGGCAAACGTCGCAAAAACCTCCAGCCCTCTTTCACAACACCCTCTGAATTTGACAGCATGTATCGTTTTCTCAACATGGATCGTAAGGTAGGGGAGAGTTCTTTAATACCAAACTCACTTGGAGAATCAGGACTGCAATAATATTTTCTATTGAAGTCATTTAGAATAAAAAAAGATCTGCTTGTGTTAACACCGCCACAATGTTATTTTGGCTCTTTAAAATACCAGAGGGCATTATGTGGCCAACACTATGGTTACCTTATTGAAGTCAACTTTTTCTTGGTTCAGGTGCTGCGTTTCTTTGCCCTGTGGGACGAGTCTGACTCTCTGTACGGGGAGACCAGGCCTGTTACAATCCACTACTTCCTGGTAGACGACACAGTGGAGATCAGAGCGGTCCATGAACCCAACAGTGGCCGAGATCCCTTCCCCATAGTGATGCGCAGACAGAAGCTGCCCAAGAAAATCAAACCAGAGTCAGGTGATACTCCATATACTCTGTTTTAACTTCATGCAGAATTTGATAAGGTCTAATACAGTGCTTTGGACAGGTACCTCTTTATATCCAGTCATATACAGTGAAAATAAAAGATTTAAGCTTTAAATGTAACAACATATTCTGTTATTGAGTATTGCTTTTAATGTTTTTGTCATTTTATTTTTCACACTATAAAATTATCACTTCATAATGATTAAATTGTAGTTTTTTATAGTTATGTATTGCAAGTATTGATTTTGCAGTATTATAAATCAACATATTAAAAAAAGGTGCAGTGACAAATAAGAAATATAAAGAAAGGAGATAACAAGTATTTGAAAATTCACAAAGAGGCAACATCTTAGGAAAGCAACCAGCCCAAAATATTTAATTAGAGATTAACAAAAAAAGAAAGTAAAAATACATCACAGGAAATAAAACTTTGTCTTCATGTTTCCAGAGGGCTTTCCGCGCTGTGTGCTGGAAGTCTCAACAGAAGAAGTGGATGAATACTACTCCCCCGAAGACTTCCAGGTGGGCCAGACGATGAAACTGCTGGGTCGTCGCTTCCAGTTGTATGACTGCGACGGCTTTACTAAAGAGTACTACCAGAAGAACCACCCTGATCTGGAGATGAAGACCATAAAGATACCAAAGAAGACAGACAGACTTCAGGAGAAGAAGAAGGTGATCCACTGGAATGTTTTTGTCGGATTTGTTTTAGTTTGGTTTCCTATAACCTGAGGGTATTCGACTTTAAATTGTTATACTTGATCATATTTTTTTTACCTGCGTTAACAGGAGATTCCTGCCTACAACGGTTTTGGTTCACTTGAAGATTCTCTCCAGAATTGTTTGTCTTTAAATCCTGAGCCTCCCAAAAAGAACATGCTGCAGATGCTAGAGAACGGCAACAAAGTGCTGCGCTTCAGTGCCAGGCTGGTAAGACAGCGTGATCTGTTTGTGTTTTTTTTTCTTTCACTGAACTTTCTGAGTGACGCGCAACAGCAATAAAGATAATTTCTCTTTTTGGTCTCGTGTCTGTGATATTCCAGGACTCCCAGGACTCTGAAGATGAGGGCCGACGTTTCGTTTTGTCCTACTTCTTGGCAGATGACATGATCAGTATTTTTGAAAAGCCCACACGCAACTCTGGCATCATCGGGGGAAAGTTCCTGGAAAAAACGCGCATCCCCAAGCCCGGGTCTACAGTGGAGAATCCTGAGTTCTACTCACCTGCAGACTTCGCTATCGGAGCCACAGTGGAGGGTAATCTCTCTGCCGAAACAACCTTTATTGATAAATCTACACTTGTGTTCCTTGTATCTTTTACATGCATGAAGCTTTGTCTGGAATCTTTCTTATAGAGGATCATTACATAATTAAACTAACAAGCTCGGCTCATGGCATCTTCCTCCTCTACTTTCTTTGTTTTTCAGTTTTCAGCCATCGCTTTGTGCTAACGGATGCTGACTACTTTGTGCTGAAGTATCTTGAGTCCATCTCGAGCCAAATTCCTGTTCAAACGCTGGACTCTCTGCGCCAGAAGCTGTGTGTGGGGACGACTAATAACCAGACAGCTGACCATAATGGTGAAAATCATACCAGCCATTAAGCAAACAATACCCCTCTGGATACAATCAAATCATGTTTTGTTTTTTCAAGGTTTTAGATTCATCAAAAAATGATGCTCATCCTTTTTCTCATTCTTTACCAGGTGATGATGTAGCAGAGATGTCGTAACCCTGATGACAGAGAAGGCCGGAGTGATGTTTACCCCCTAATAAATCAGACCACAAGACTATGAATTAAACCTTTTTGTGAGTCTTAATAAGTATATACTGTTATAAAACACTGAACCTTCTGTGAAAAAGGTGATTTTGTTTTGTTGTTGTGTGTAGAATCTAACAGCTTCTGGAGTTGATGAAATACACCAATTGTTTGGTTGAGTTACTGAAATACCATTCTCACGCCTGGCACACAAAGGTATTTTAAAGTAGGGATCTAAGTTTTATAAAGATAACTATAGTAGCTTGCAATACTTGTCAAAACTATAAAGTTTGCTAGAAACATAAATAATATGTCCCAATGCATGTGCGCCAAAGATTCCAGTTCAAGGCACAATGTTAAATAAGAAGTATCTCCTTATTGAATTTTACATCCTGTCTGCAAGGAAAAAAAACCCCAAAAAGTTCAAAGGAAAAACATTTAGTATTTTTTAAGTCAACCTGCACCATACCATTAGGACTGGTAAAACTTGTGCATGTGTCTGTCTCTATTTTCAATCTGACAATGCCTTGTTTCACTACTGCAAAAGATCACCAATTAAAAATTAATTTTAATATGAATAAAATGAAAATATAAAAACATGTAGAAAACTCACAATGTAAGAGTTAAAAACATATTTCAGAAAAAATGAATTATTTAATAAAGTAAAGAACAAAAGAAAAGAAAAACACATGGAATGACATGCTGTAATGTCCATCATACATGCTCGATGATTATGTTAAGTGACCAGTGACAAATATAGGATTTTTTAAACAGATACATCATTATGAGGAGCCCAGGTCACCACTCTATGATTCCTGCCCTGACAGGGCAGAGTTTCTGTTAAGGTCGTGACACACTGAGCTCACATCTTATCATTACATCTTACAATGACATCATCAGTAACATGTTTCTGCTCCAATAGACAAAACTAGAAAACAAGCAAAGCTGGCTCAATGGCGAGAGCTGAAAAACAGCTGCAACATCAGGCAACACTACGACCGATACAGTACTTCTGAATGAGGATCAACACATTCAACACTGACGCACAGCAACGTGCGCCGCACACGGTGTTCACTTTACAATTGAATCATTCTGCGTATAATGGTGCTCCTTAGGGTGGGATCGCAAAACTGTGTGGCTGTATGTAAAAAAAAAAAAAAAAAAAAAATACTGATATGATGAGAAGAGTAAATGTCTTTAGGGCTCGAGTGATTCCTGTGGATTTTTTCGTTTTTCCAGCATTCAAGCCAAAGTCTGTAGCGACTGAGTCCTGGTAACATCTCAGGACACACTCGACGAGAAGCTCGGTGGACAGCGTCCGCAAGCTTCCTCGTGCTGAGAAACCTCAGCCGGGGGCCAAGGCTTCTGTTCAGGCCAGTCACTGTGATATCTTAAGGGGATTTGAGCTTTTTGGTCCGAGGAGAGGCTCCATTCTCAGCTTTAAGAACTCCGTTTTCATGATGACCAACTACAGGGAGAGAGGGAGGTGAAAAGTCAAGATAAATGTAACTGCAATATTAAATTAAAAAAAAAAAAAAAAAACGACATCTTCTGTCACTATCAGAAGATCAAATCAGTGTGTATTAAAATATGGACGGATATGGATAACTCACGCGAGTCTCTCTTCAGCGGCCGGAGGGCTTGTTTTGTGGCAGTCTTCTTGCGAAGAGCCTGCTCGTGTCTGAACTCCCTCCAGCGTCTCAGCTGGAAGCGGATAAACTTCCAGAGGAGCCAGGATTGAGTCAAACATACCAGCAGTAGAACGGTCATCCTGAAGGGGCCCCAAGGCAAGACGATTAGTGTGAATGTGTGATTTGGAAAAACAGACTTGACATTATGTGCTGAATTTAACCTTTCTAGCACCTGGTGTGTTTGAAAAGAAGTCTGAAGGATATTCTTTGAATTTCTCATGGTTTGACAGCAGTTTCTCATTTGCAACCTTTGCTGCTATGTTTAAGAAAGTCTGCTAACATTTCATATTGTGACTGAACATGGAGTAGGTTTTTGGAAGGTTATATTTCTGATTCTGACATTTGAACCTCAATATAAGGCTTGTGTAGTGTTGTTTTGTTTGTTGTGTCTGAAGAGTGGTTTTCTGTCAATCAGTGTAAAACATCCTCTACAACATTCACAAAATCTCTGTAGTAAAACAATAAAACATTCAAAGTCAGCTCTTTCCCAATAAACTAGGCGACACGTGCATTCATTACAGTAGCTGTAAAATATAACAGCAGCTCCACAGAATGAATCTTTGTCCTCGTGTGCACACAGAGTTCAGCACCTTATCAGCACACTGTTGAAGTTGCCCGTCTCCCAGTCCAGCCCCTGGTTCTCAGCTCGAGCCAAACCAAACCCAACGGCCAGGAACATCAGGGTCAAAGTGGCCATCCGTGTAAACACGAAGCTGACCGCCCACAGGTCAAACCTGGCACACAACCACACACAAAGGTTTAAAAAAACAACAAAAAAAAAGGATGTGAAACAGCAGATCAGAGAGAAGAGCCAAGTGTGCTTTTAAGTTAAGTTCATAGCAATGGAAATGTCCTGATTTTTTCCTTTTAAGAAGACAAAAACGTGACAACACTTACATTTTCTGATGGTTCTCATCAGTGAAGTAAAAGAGTCTGGCAATGTGGAAGCCCAATTCTGACACATACTGAAGAAAGAGGAGCACCAGACCCACACGACTCATACTGCACGAGAAAGAAGATTTAAAAAGACAATAATCCATGTTTACACAGTATTTAGAAATCAAAAACCACATGGAAGAATCTTAGCAGTCAAACAGAGCAATTCCCCTTTAGCATTGTTTCTGTTGCTTGCATTTCCCTTATCAACACTTTCCATTTGCAGGCTTCTGCTGCTGGATGCTTACTTTAACAGATAGGCTGCAGAGATGTGCAGCAGATAGAGGCAGATGTACTGCAGCTGCCGGGAAATCTCCTCCTGAAAAATCAAACAGACTATTAGTGAAGGTGCAACACTTTTAAATACTGGTTTCTTTAGTTCAGAATCACCACAGTGTAATGCAGAAAACACACACACACACACACACACACAATCACACAGGCAGCTTATCTAGTCACACTCCAGAGCTCCTCTGGTTCCCAGGCCTCCTTACTGACCTTGCGTACTTTCTGGAAGTAGAGCTCTGGCAGGGAATGGAGCCAGTAAGCCAGCTGAGTGAGGTAGAAAAACTTCACCTGAAACCTGCAGCACGAACACACACAGAGACAGGGAGGAGGAGGAAGAAGAAGAAGAGGCAGGGCGGAGAGAAAAGTCAGAGAAATACATACAGTACATTCCCAGTTTTAATTGGTATCTATTCACTATATGACAGTGTTTTAAAATAAACACTGACGCAACATAGTTAAGAGCAGACACAGTTTGAGTTATTTTGATTCCCTAACTTGAAAGAGGAAATCACGTTTCCCTATTTGCATGAACGTTTCTGAGATCATGCATGCTTAATGTTTTGGCCCTGTGTGCAAGCTGCATGCAGCACGTTTTTTTAAGGAACACTGCAGAAACAAGGTCATGATGAGGAGCTAAGAAGTACAAATATAGAACAAGAGCTAGATAACCAATCAACCAAGGCAAGCAACTACGGCCCCCAAAATCCCTACGTTGATCTGTGCCAATCATTACCTCCAGTTTTTGATTCCTAAGAGGGCTCCTACATGATTCATAAAAGGACTCAACCTAGTTTCATTTATCCTCATTATATTTAAGTTTATGTAAACAAGGTAAAGTCACAAAACGTTGGTTTTTAAAAAGGAAGTGATCATTTTAAGTTAAATGACAGTTAGCAGCGTTGTACATTATTACAGATAACTTAAGCACTTTAAAATGTGGCTTTTTTAAAAAAAACAGCAGACATTAACATTGCTCCAGATCAACAGTAACAACTTAGCAAAGTGCAAGTGTCCTATATTGTACAGTTAGAGTTAAAGAAAATAACAAGAAGAGAGAATTGGGATTATCAATTCAGAATTAAGCAAATATGCAATAGCTACTCAAATGTGTCAGCTCCTTAGATCTGTATGATAGTAAACTGGAAACATGAGTTCCCACTGGAGTTTAAGAAAAAAGAAGAGGATTTTTTGCGTCGACTTTCACTTGAGAAACTGTGAGGGAACTTTTCTTCATGAAAACAAAAAAAACACAAGAAGTAGTATAACTATGTACATTTAACCAAGTGTATCATTCACTGAGAAAAAACAAGTCTAAGACAATGCTCTATACTTGTAGCTGTACATCCCTCCCTTCCAGAAAATGATTAAAAATATGTATTATTATTTTCATCAGAATCAGAAATACTTTATTAAACCCAGAGGGTAGTATCTCCGCCCCCCGCCCCCCCCCTGGACATTGCCCCTGTATATATGGTAGAGTAAAACATGAGGCATACCTGAGGTGAAGATGGGGATAGTTTTCCCAAAGGCTGCTGGGATGCAGGAGATATCCTTCCTGAGATCAAAGATAAAAACACACTTGAAACTGTCCTTTATTAGAGTGTGGTATGCTTTTAAATGTGACCTTTCCTTCACCAGACAGAAGCCCCCAAGTACAATATGACCACTCACTGTAATGAGGATGTAAAAAGTCCACACACTTGACACCAGGTGAAACACACACAGCTGACCCGACTCATTGAACTTTGTGTTCTTGCTCTTGGAGAGGTGGAGGCGCCGGTTCACTTTCTACATTATGAAAACACAAAACAAAAAAAGAAACACAGAGCATGCAGTGAATGCAGCTTGAAGCAGTCAGAATGGACGGCATGTTATCTCTGTCACTGTCATGCTTGAGGAAGTGTCACAGTAACACAAATAACTAGGGCAAGAAAAGACGACAGGCGCTATTTATAGCTGCAGCTGAAAACCCTCCTCTGAAGAACTATCCTTTTCAAGACGCGTCTGAAACTGCGCTGATGGAGCTGAAATAACATCATCATTCCTCCTCGCAGGCCTGTTTCGAAACAATAGCACACAGGCCCAGACTTTGAGTTGGTGTCACATTCCGATCTTACTTCCTGCTTCCTGGTCCATCAACTTTTACAGCCAAAAATCAGACTGGATTACTGTCGGATTTAGCCAGACAAAAAAAAAAAAAAAAAACTTAGCATGCTGCAGTCATAAGTGAATACTTTATTCTAAGGGTCCATCATTCCTGACAGCTTACAGAAAAGAAATTAAGCACCTGATATATGGTATAAAGAGATCATATTTATAGTAGTATAGTATATACTTAGTTATATTGCACAATTGCCGTTATGTATTTCAATTAAATACTACATAATCTATTTTATTTCAGGCTCATGAATTCAGCTGAAAATATGGAGATGAGAAACTGTCCTCAGGACAAACATACCATTTTATAAACATGGAGAATCAAGTTTCTGATCAAAAATGAATAATTCAAAGTTAATTAAAATGATGTTTGTATTAGAACAAAATAATGAATCCCTCATAACGTTGCAGTGACTGTATACTCACATCCAGAAGATACTCCTGCACCACTGCATGGAGGATGATGGCGATGAAGAAGTAGAAGAGGATGGTGGCACCATCCTTCCAACCGTAATGGTACAGCGTCACCTCTCCCTCTAAGCACACACAGGAGTGGTCAAACACACACACACACACACACACACAGCTTGTGTTTGCAATAACAGGCATGTTCAACAAGTAGAACCATTGTAAACTCATTTTGTCTATCACAGTTCTGTAACGCTCATACAATAAATGTAACATGCAGGGACAGCAGCACCAGAAGTGAAATGGTGAGGTGTGTGAACTTTTCAGAACGGGGGAAGATTCTGTAGTTCAGAGAGTGTGAATTCAAATGAACATATCAAAGAATCAAACTGCACTGCATACCTGGTGACAGTGTGGTGACGTTGTACTGAGGCTGAATGAAGAGTATGGCCGTCTTGGCTGTTGCCTGGAAATTAGACAACATGGTAATTAGCAACACATTCCAGTGCGTTTATTTGAAGTAGAACTCAAGCAAGAGGTCAGTGATCAGAGCGTCCCCTGTTTTTCTGGAGCTGCTGTAATGCACAAATTTCCCCCACGGGGGATCAATAACATTTTTCTTTATCTTTATGGGTCTGTTGGATTGTGAGATCATCATTACAGCCTGCTGGGAGCAGAAAATCTAACTGGCAACAGAGCTAAAACATTATTTTATTTTAAGCATGCCAGAGATATGCAATAGACCAGTGTTTCCAAACTTTTGCAAAGCTTGTAATCCATAGAAAAATAATGGAGAAATATAAAGCTGTTTAACGTGTTTTTAAATCTCAAAAGACAGTCTAAAATATATGATACTGCAGCAAGAGAAGAGCGGAGGAAAAGCAGGAACTGCTCAAAATTAGGAGGAAGGAAACAAAAAAAAGATTGACAAATCAACACAAATGATTTGAGCACCCATAGTTATCAAAGCTGTCGCCAGTTGACTGACGATAACAGGACAAAGGGTGTTAACTCTACAAAGGTTAAATGTTCAAAGATTAACATAAAGTGCCACATGCCTCTTTTTTTTTTTTTTTTATTAGGCTAACTGATGTGTGAGCTCTGATATGTAGCCTACATATATATACACATTAAAAAAAAAACCTCTGGGAACCATGATGGTGGGATTTTGATAGCATTAAGACCCATCTTTTATGACTTGGTACTTCATAAGGTGAGTGACACCACTTTAAAGGGACCCTGTTGGTCCCCTAGCCTCAGTTTGGGCACCACCACTCAGTTGTTTCCTGCACTGTAGTCAGCCAGCCACAGGTGACGACTGGTGTCAACGTAAAAAAAAAAAAAAATTAAAGGCAAGCTGTAGCACTGTTGTTCCTTTTTTTCCGTACCAAGAAAATTGAAGGAAATCCCCTTCTTAGTTTTTCTCTCGGCCAGCTGTGTGAGAACTACTCAGGTTCCGGATTGAAAGTTCGCCATAATGCAAAGCGGGCGCATTAGTGAGCTGTGAATACTTATGAGACACCTAACTCATTGATCAGCTGAATGTCAGTGGGGACAACCCTCAGGTCAAGGTAGTCTTCAGTTCAACTGAAACACACACACACAGCAAGCCAGCAGAAGTGGCTCAGAGATTGAGACGTGGCAGTTAACTACAGCCCAGTAAGCTGCCAACAAAAAGTCAAACGGCTTCCTTCGTTACTTTTCAAAATAATACCTGAAAGGGTCCAACAAATACGGAAACCCATTCTCGGCAAATAGCGTGTGCTTTTAATTTGAATGTCGAAAATCTACCAACTTCCTGTGTCGATCAGGCTTTTTGTGGTAACTAACAAATCTCTGAATCAAAATGTTGCAGCGGACTGTTTGATGGAAACTGGAACAAGAGATGGTCAAAAGGGTTAAAAATGTGAGATTTAGCAAGCATATAAGATACACTGTGCTGTTTTCTGAGTGGCCACTTATGACTATGCCAATATAAAAGTTGTTAGTAAAGAAACAATTTTCGCAACAACTTAAAGATAAAAAGTATCCCAAAAAAAAAAACCCAAACATGTCGAGTTGTTTTGTTACACTAAGCACCTTTCAGATGTAACTTTCCGGCGCTGTTTGAAATCATTTCGCTACATTTTTCACAGCGAACAGTCACATTTATGGTTCACAAAACTTCTGAAAACTGCAGCCACCATATCCGCGAAACTTCAGTCACTTACAAGGCTACAAGTTTACAAGGCTTGGATGCAGTCAAACAAAGCAAACTTTCCCCCCACACGACAACAGCTTGTTTGATATAATTAAGAATCGACTAAGCACCGAGATACATCTTTGAACGTGCAGCGGGCTTGCCACCTTAAAACAGCTGAGCAGGACGAGAGGAAGAAAAAGATAATCCTGAGTTCATCTCACCTCAAACATCAATCCAATCAAAATGAAAATCACCAGACTGAAGACGATGTCGGCATGGTTCTGAATTAAGAATTCCTGGCTGAAGAAAGGGTAACTCTTGTTTCTTCGGCGAAATGCCATGTCAACTCAATGGTGTTTTCCCTGCTATTTTATAAATCTGAATTTTTCTGACTACGAAGTTCAGGAGTTAACTTTCTCACTGATCTGCGCATGCGCGACTTCTTAAAGGGCAAGTGCCATAAATACCTTCTTCCGAGGCCATTTACACAATTATGGTAATGCGTTCTTTTCTGACTTGGCAAAACAGGAAACTTTCAGCATCCCGACTTTCAGCATATTATTTTCCAAATAATAACAAAAGGGAAAGGATTCCAGTCACCCGAATAAAAAGGGTATTTATTGCTCATTTAAGCCACCAGTGGCCTTTCACTTCACAGTTCAAAGTTGAGTATAGGCAGTCAACTGGCTGCAAGAGAAACCCAGCAACACATCACTGTTTTGTCGATGGATTTCATCCCTTTTCACAGAACAGCAAATAAGCAAAAAAAAAAAAAGCATTTGTCCCCTAGAAAAAGAAATCGAGATAACAAAAAAGATTACGACAACTACTTCAACAGCATTTTTTCCTTTCGTCACACATAAGACATTTGAAAGCTTTTGAAAAGTCAGTGCCTGAGACATGATATTTTCTCCCAACGTAATGGCAAGTCAAAAAACATTGTATTAATTACATGGTCAACATGTAAGTCAAGTTAAAACATTGAATATCACAGCTTTGCCAGGTTGACACATTAGCCCCTGCGTAATGCAATGTCAGTTGACATGATTATACAAAAAACAGCACATTGTTCTTTAAAAATTGGGATGGTTTTTAAAACGGGAATACCAAAAAAAAACCACAGCAAAAGAATTATCGTACAGTAGATACTTGTGCTTTTTAATAAGTCAACAAAGCTCTGGCTCACACTCAGATACTAATGTTGCAGAGGTCAAACCTTTCAGTCTCCTTTACATCGAGACTACTCCTCCATTTACACGGCTGCTATGAATATTAAAATGAGTAGAAGCTGTTGTGTATATAACACAGAGTCCTCATTTGTCTGAATTATAAAGACGCAGCACATTTCTAATGATATGCGTTGACATTATCGCGTCGCTACTTCTTGAACATCTAATTGCACCCCGGCAGAACCTGTGCTTCTTCTTTTTGCACAGTGTTATTATTGAGTCTTAAATTAATTGCTGCCAAACGATTGGAAAAAAATGTTATTTTGATATCAGGTAGAAGGTGCGTCTGAGCTCTGTACGCCACGTTATTGGCCAACTAGCCTCTATAGCATCTTCAAGATGTCTGATGAATACACTGAGGGTTTCATTTTTTGTTTGTCCAGCATCTAGGCAAAGCAGTGTGTTTCAAAAAGCCGTCGAGAAAAATACAGGCTAGCTTAGCATTGCCCCAAAACTGTTGCATATGTACACCTTAATGTGTGCTGAATATATCGACATTGAAAGGTGAATTTTTCTTCTGGCCAGCTAATCCTACAGCACTGAGTCAATAAATCAGCCTTCCAAACAGCTGGTGGTCTCCTGTTCAAGGCTCTCTTTTGATGCTAGAAGCTATCTTCCTCGTCTCTCCGGGACATTATAAGCTGCCTCCTGGGTCCTGTGAGATGAGGGACACTAGATGGGGAGTCGAACACTCCAGAGTCCAATCTAGGAGTGGAAGTACAGCGTGGTCCAACGCGGCCCATGAGTCCACGTACATCTCTGTGAAGGGCTGGATCGCTTGGTATGGAGTTTAGGTGTGCCCCCTGTTCAACGCTGTCCCGGTCCAAGCGGGGGTTACTAGCACTGCTTGGAGACTGAGGATCAGCGCTGAAGTACAAGGTTGAACTTGACTCTGTTGGACAGAAATAAGGTTCTGGACTGTCCCCGAACACAGACTTTCCCTCTGGTGAGCTACGTTTAAAATCGGATGTAGGTGACTCCATCGGGCTCTCCATCTCCAGACTGTCGTCTTCCTCCTCAGGTTGCTCTGTTGATGTGGGCTCGCTCACACTCTGGAACTCATCTTTACAGTCTGAGAGAGGTGCAGGGCCTTTCCCCTGAGACTCAGAGGTGGAGATGCCCTCACCCCCTGCTGTGATAGTCATGCCCTCATTACTCTTAAACTCTTGGTTGTACTCCTCCAAGTCCAGTATGGCTGCCGCTCCGCCGGCTCCATATGCTCGGTTTATCTTCCCCAGGTCTCCTGTTTTCAGAGCCAGTCGGATAAGGAGCCAGTGGTGGTGGTAACACGGGCAGCAGCTGTTTGCCTGGCCTCCGCAGGTTCCTGGGTGCTCAAGCAGAGATCCAGCAACACCTGAGAGCGAGAAGCTTCCGTGGTTTTGAATGGAGGTTGCGGGCAGGCTTTTATCCCCGAGAGAGAAGGAGGACTCCCCTTGTTCTATGCATGTGCTGCCCATGTGGTTGCGGTTCATTCCCTGGGAGATCTCTGTGGACTTTGGGTGGAGGAATCTGTAGTATAGGACCAGAGAGGTAGCACCTGGGAAGCGGGAAGAAAAACGTTTATGAAGCATTTTTTTTAGTACAACTGATTATCAAGTTACTTCTTCTTTTATTTTGGTATTTAATAAATCTATCCTTAAGAATCTAGAGCTCAGTGTTGTTGGATTGCTTATTGTAGTTTTAGTGACAACATTAGAGATGACCTTTTGTTTACTATCGTGTTCAACTAACCCACAAATTGTTTATTTGACACCACAGATTATGTTTGTTCTATCTCTAATTATTAATTGTTATAAAACAATTATTATTTAAAAAAAAATATTAAACACGTAGCACTCCAAGGACAAATAAGTGTCATTACTTTTTGACTGGATTCGATTGCCTTTGGTGTTGTACACTGAAACTATGAGGCGTTTTGACAGGAACGTATTTGAGCGCTAAGCTTGAGACAAAATCAGAGCCGTATATCTGTTCCAAAAGTAGAAAAAGCGCAGATAGTGACTCACCAAGGAGAAAGCTGCACAGCACTGTGGTTGGAAGGGTCATGCTGTCCCATGATGCTTCACTAAGGAAGTCAGAGGCAGCCAACAGCAAAGTGGCGTTCTCTACAAGCATGAACTGAAGAAGAAGAGAAGGACAAACCATCAGTCATTAGTGGTCTGCTTTACGTCACTGAAAGCAGAGGACGAAAAGGTGAGGATGACGATGCAAACTACATCCCCTGTGCAGGGTATAGCTGCCCTATATGTAGTGTATGTCAATGAGGCAGTGCTCTATGTGGAACACAAAACATACTGACAACAGGGATCAGAATCAAGAGTCAAACCAAGACTACATTTCATCACATCTTACTGCATAGAAACTGGCCATGCGGAAGCGTGACGGTCCGTCTTTAACGTTGAGGAAGAGGAAGACATGGACAAGCCCCATGATGGCGTTAAAAGCTCGCCAACACCAAGGGCCGTTGCAGATGTCTGGTTGCTGTGAAACCAGCCAGAAGGAGGCCGTGAGCCAGTGGAAACCTGGAGGTCAGCGTAAATATAGACATTCAGATACAGGCGCATTAGGGGACGCATGTGTAGTACAGCAGCTGATGTATAGAAGTGAAAACTGGATTAATGGGACATGCTGCATCAATGAGGATAATTCAATCATTTAATTTCAAACTGATATTTGCAAGTGTGTGCTATGTTTCATTATCTGCATCCTTTTTTCTTTCTCTTATAGACATCAGTATCAGCCCATGGAGCCTGCTGCTTACCTGCTACACCACAGACCCACCAGTTAAAGACCCTGGCAAAGAACATGAGGCAGGTGACCCTTGCACCCAGCATGCCAGCCCTCCACACCAGCTGGCACAGGAGGGCTGCCGGAGGCATGGCCAGATGGCCTGGTCGTATCAGACAGCAGGCTCTGCTGTAAAGAACCAGCGCCCAGGAAATAGACAGCACACACAGGCCACAGCAGTAGGCGACTGAAGGTAAAAACCCAGAGAGTAGGATATGAAAATGATACATCATCTCTTTTTCAGACACTACAAACAAGATGTAGATATGATTTCTAATGGTGACATCTGTATACCTGGGGACATGATGCCCACATCAGTTGACACCACAACGTATGCCTGAAGCAGGCTCTGAGGGAGCGTGAGGACGAGGGCCTCCAGCAGCCAGAGAGCAGCCACATCTGCCTGCTGCATGACCGCAGCTCCGAGATCAGCCACCGAGTCCTGCATGCGGAACACAGACCTCATGCAGTCCCACAACCTGCCAGAAGAGGGAGACAGAGACAAAGACCAGAGTAGGGATACAGTAACCTCCAGGTGAAGGATTCAATGACACTATGAGAATAGGTTTTTTTTGTTGTTGTATCTTTCTATTTACAGAAATGAGGCAATGTTTTCAATTTCAAATCTGGAGTTCGCTTTGATCTTACCTTTTGAATATGCCCAAGTGCAGTATGTGAATAACAGAGAGGTAACATCGTCTGTCGTCACCGTCATCATAGTACCATTTCACACTTAGCAGTTGAACCGCTGTACCCGGTAGGAAGAGGCCCAGAGTGAGGCCCGCCCACTGCGTCTCCTCATTCCAAAGATAAAACCCGATACAGTAGATCACTATAACACACACGCAGATACAGACATGCACATGCAAGGTGCTGTTAGTATTTTGTGTTTTTATGTCAATGTGTCAATTACGCAGAGTTTCAGAGTCCTTGAAGAATTTGAAGCCCACTTGCATAGCTCCTTAAGTGAATTGCCATTTAATCAAGGGGAAGCTGTTCTAATAAGATGATGCAAGGTCTGTCTTAATTTGGCTTAACAAAAGCCCCCGATTATGTCCCTGCAACCACGATATGAAAATAAATGACAAGAAAGAGCGTCATCTTCCTAAATTGATCATTTTCAATTATGCCTCATTTTGTCTGTAACAGGCTGACTGAAATGTGGGGTCTATGGCACAGGCAGCACGATATTTTATGCCTCTGGGAACAGTAGCTGAGGGCAAAGTCACACTTTGTACTCATGCAGTCACCTCATCCCCCCCCCCAGTGTCCTGCCCTTGCCCCATTGATCTGCTTAGTCAGGCAATCATCACACCTGAGAGTTCTGCAGACTTTGTTCAATGTAGACTCCAGATGTGCGCGCATTACCATTCCAAATAATAATGATGATGATAACATTAGTAGTGATACTGATGTTAAATTAATATTTAAAATCTGTTTTGGTAGGTGGGTGCAGGATCAGCCAAAAAGGGAAGCGTTCTGTCCACAGGTTTCCCCTTTACTGCAGGGGTTAACTGTATATTTAATCATGTGACCCTACTGAATGACCCCTTGAGGTCCTAGAGCCCCAGTCTGACACACCTACCTAGCCTGGCTACATGCAAGTAACAATGCATAAAGAGGAAACTAGCTTGGTTTGCCTATTCAGCAGTATAGCGGTAGTGCTATTGCATCACCGTTTGAATTGTTTCGGACCTGCTGCTGGGTAAGCTCCAGCACGAAGCATCATGGCTGAGCAAACAGCATTCTCAGTTATTACAGCCTATGAGAAAATACTCACACACAAAAAAAACAACATTCCACCCGCCCTGTTTTCACATTCACCAATAGCCTACAGCAGCAGAAATAGCAGCCCGGTAAGAGGTGGAATTCTATGCCCACTTACGAGCGCTCCGTTCGGCCACGATAACCAGCGCCGACATGCCGAGCAGCGCCGCCTGGCACCACGCTATCCAGCATCCGCTCCTCCGGGCCGCCGAGGGCATCCTGCGGACGACCGCCCCAGCAGCGTTTATCATGATACGGAGAGGTGGGAGAGCGAATAGACCCGTGACATTATCCTGGGCATCGTTTACCCACGGATACGTCCGCTCTCTCTTCTTCTCCCGCTGCCTGCCCCCCCGCCGTCAAAAATACGTGACGTCACTGCGCGCGCGGTGTTAAAGGGGAATGAGTTTACCGATGGCCAACTGTAAACAGCTCACCTTCCCGCCACCTTGGGCTGTAAGGGCCTATATTCGTCTTGTTCTTTGAAAAATAATTTAACTCCTTGAAGCTCCTATTTAAAGAATATCTGACAAATGTCTTGATTAGACAATACTTGATATTTATTGATACAAGTTTAATTTATCCAGCAATGCACTAACAGATCAATCATTTTCTTTAATTGGTTGCTTGTTGTCGTTTACGGTATAGCTTGTGGGCTCCAGGGCAGCTGAGATACACTGTGACCAGATCAGGTGTTTCATCATCCCTGAAGAAGGATGCAATGCAAGTTATAAATAGCCTCATCATATTGCCACTTAAAACAATTGGTAACTTAATACTCTTTCTAGTAATTTGAGGATCACAGAGGATTTTGCAGTGTGGCAGGCCTTTGGCAAGAAAGTGTTATATTATACAATATTTTTATGTCGCCTTTCTGCACAGCTTTCATTCTTTCCCCAAATCAAAAGCTATCTTTTTTTTTTTTATAGCTTTTGTTTTATTAAGATATGTGCTACTTCATTTTTACACATACAAAAGCAAGCAATGGACACTGTAGACTTCATGCAAATAACTGAGGTTTCCTCTGTTATTGTTTTGACCTTTATCTCACTGATACAACCCTTACCAGAAACAATCACGAACCACACGCGCAACAAAACACTGAGACAGTGAAAGCACAAATAAATATAAACACTTTAATGCATTATCTCATGTTTAGTTAATAAAGATTTCCCAGAGATACAAAAAATAGCAAAAAAATGTCTACAGTCTCTCTGTCTACAGTATTAGCAACAAAATAAATTAACAAATGTGTATGAATGAAACCTATCAAGTCACTGGTCCCAGGCCATGCTGGTAACGTCTTGATTCTTCACACGCTAAAGCCTCTGTAGAGTATGCATGATTGAGATTAGGGTCTTCTTCAAATAGGGCAGTAACACACAGCTGCTGAGTTGACCTGTAAGGATTATATGGTTGGATTAGCAGAGCTGTCTTAGGGCTCTGCTATGCAGCCTGACTCCAGTTTGATGTTGGTTGCATGCAGAGGTAGAGGGCTGCCATGATGCAGCAGCTGTACGGCCTTTGCTGATTTGTACATGCTAAGCTTGCGCTCCTCTCTGGCGCCCTCCTTGTGGCCAGATGTATGAAACTTCATCGTCTTAATTAATTCAGTAACATTCCCCTTGTCCATCTCAGCCTCTGCAGCCATGGCCTCAAGCTGCTCTGCTGTCTCACTCATGTCAAACCTCTCAATCTCAGAGTTGACCCGGTGTAGCTCCTCCGGGGTGTGCCTTTGGGAAGCCGACGGGGACAGAGGGCAGAAGCCTTGGAGGTGAACCTGGAGGCTGCAATGGTGGAGGTAGGCACAGGGGCAGCGAGGACACCTGTGAGGTCGTTCCCCGGTGTGGAGGCGCTTGTGCAGCTTAAGGTGGACGAATTGTGTAAAACGGGCTGTGCAGAGTTTGCATTGGTAAGGCCTTTCACCTGAATGTAGCCTCTGGTGGGTCTTCAAGTTACTTGTACTACTGAATCGCTTATGGCACACCTGCATCAAAACAGAGGCAAGGAGAATATGTTTAGGAATCAGAAAAACGGTGTACATACTAACATAAAGGAGGACAATAAATAATACAAGTAAAACTCAATGTAATATGTTGTATTGCTATTTACTACTATATAATCCATATTTCATGTCTGTATCCTAACCGTGCTAACTGTGTGCTGACTTCAACTAAATATTTACTCCGCAGACATTTGAATAAAACGACAGATCCTGTAATCTGTGTTCTAGCTGTTCCCAAAATGACCTTTACATGAGTTTGAACCGTAGCCATACCTTGCACTCATGAGGCTTCTCTCCCGTGTGAACCAGGTAGTGTTTCTGCAGGTGGGCCAGCTGAGTAAAGTTCTTATTGCAGGTCTGACACATGAAGGGGCGCTCTCCGCTGTGCACTCGCAGATGAACCTGAGGATGTATGTCAGAGAGATGAGTGGCTGGTCAATTTGGTAATTCTCTAGCATGGTTGTGCAAGGCAGTTTACATTAACTGTACAATATGATGAAGAGGAACTAACCTTGAGGTTGGATAGCTGCCCAAAGACCTTTCTGCAGACGTTGCACTCATACCGGATCTTTCCATTTTGCCTTGCGAGGGGGTAAGACAGGGTTTTGTAGCCAATCATCTGCCCAACGTATTTGGTCTTCCTGAGGTCCATGGCATCATCTGTGTTGCTCTGAGTAGCAGAGGTGGGTTTGGAAGGGAGGCAGTCTGAAAAGGCGGCCATGCCCACTGGTGGTGAGCACCCTCCAGGTGCAAGAGAGGGCAGTGCTCTGCGATTGTGCGAGGTGATCATGGATGAGGCACTTGATGTGGCAGGTACAGCGAGGTCTGCATATTTAAATTCTCTTTGGTCATCTGAGGGGATCCTGAGGTAGTTTGTCCTTTTGGATATGAGGTCTTTGTTGTCTTTGAGCTCCCTGGTCGGTGAAAGAATGAGGTCTTGTTTGGTGTTGGATAGTGCAAGTGTCAAGTCTTTGTATCTGTTGGCCACAGGATGCAGGAAGTGTGCATAATCATTTAAAGGCAGTAAAGGAGATGGGAGTATAAGGTGGGGTTTCAGTCGCTCACTGTAGAGAGGGTATGAGTGAGGTAGGATGCTGTTAAGGCCAAGGGAGTAGTGAGGTGGTAAATATGGAGAGTGCCTCAGAGCGGGCTGAACTGATCAGCCACAGAGGGCTAAGATTTGGCTGCGACTGGTCCCTGACTGTGCTGAAAGTTGAAGTGCAAACGGGAGGAGGAAGGACTACACAGAGCTGGCCTTTTGGGAGCTGGAGGGCTACAGGATGGCAGAGATTGCAGAGGGACATATCTATGGCCATGGATGGATTCTGTGTGGGGCTGGACTGGGTAAACAACCCGGGGACACAGGGGAAAAGCTGCTGAGAGATTGGTCTGAGACAAATGACTGTCTACACGTGTAGCAGAAGTCTTCAGAGGTTTGGAAGGCTCCTCTCGGAGGATTTCAAAGACGCTGTGTCCTCGTTTCACTGATGTCTTCTCCTGTGCTTGACTCGGTTCTGTGGAACAAATAAACAATAGAGGAATGTTTTTAGAGCTTCTTGCTTGTATTTATTTTCATGAACATGTTTTCTTAATTCTCTAGAACGACTGACATTGAAATAAAATATCTTGTTATTATTAAAATGTATTATTACTTGACCCCCTCCCCTGATTATGCAAATGTATTCAACACACAATCCCACCTCAGTTAATACTAGCTAATATGAGCTATGGACACCAAAAGATGAATTATTAGAATTATTTTATTATGAGACCTAAAGTGGTTTCATTTTATTTTGCAGACAGCCACAGGTGGTCACTTGACGAGCTTCAGTTTTTTAAACCTCAGCATTGGATTCATTTCAACACCACAGGTTGTTGCTTAATCAGAGACAGGTGACATTTTTTTTTAATTTGATTCACAGTACAGCAGACCGGACACTGACAGTATCATCATTTAGTTGAGTGACACATAAACCCGTGATCACTGAATGATCATGCACACAAGTTCGTTGTCGACATCACCACACATCCTTACTTTCAATCAATTACTGTGTGTGTGAATGAGTGTGTGTGTCTGGGCCATGTCACGCAGACTGTCCCTGTGAAAGTGGACACCACATGTAAGAAATTGTCTTCTGATCAGCATACTGATAGTGCAGTTAATGGGTACAGCATGTTATTTACATTAGAGTCTTTCCAACACAGGACAGGATACACAGTAAGAAACTACTTTTGATCTGAAATGGACTAATGGACCGTCGATTTCAATCATGCATATATAATCATAATAGATGCTTAATGGAGAGAAAAAATGCATATTGCAGCATGTCCATTAACCTATTAATTAGGTTTACTTTTTTCAAGGAATTACACACAACTCATGTTTCTATAATCTGGATCCAAATCTGTATTTTTCCATTGGTTTAACTGGCTTGCTACAGAATAGATGAAGGCCATGAGCTGACAAACAATAGGAAGACAAAATACAGGAGTATGTATGCTCTTTTCACCTACTCGTGGACACAATCAACATTAACCCATGCAGACACAGAGCAACCTTTATCTTCTTATGTGTGCTACCCATCCCCCCTTTTGAGAGGCTAGGTTCCAGCAAACAAACAGCCAACACTCAGTGAGATATCAATCTGTCAACAGGTCGCCTTGTCAGGAAGTTCAAGTAGTCACTGGAGCGCTTCCTACCTCTCTTCCTCCTTAAGAGCCAAATAAATAAGGGGAGTCTTGCCAGAATGCTGTCAGCACCTCAGGCAGCCTCTCGTTGTGTGCGCTTGTGTAGAAGCGTGCGTGAAAATGAGTATTTTGGTGTGTGCATATGGTCGCTCTGCTAGTATGTGTGCTCTTTGTGTTTGTGAATAAAAGCCAAATGCTTTGTGTGTCAAGCATCTGACAGCTGTGTTTCTGTGTGGAGTTTTAAAAAAAAAGGGAAACTGAAACATTACCTAAAGTCCTGAAAATGGTTTCATCTTACTCAAGTATTATGACTATACCTGGAGACAGACCCTCTCTGCTTTCAGGACTATACTCCTCTTCTTTGTGGCCCTCCCAAACAAAAGGGCTGTGGGTGTGACTGAGAAACTTCTTCAAAGAACCACACAAAGAGCGTGTCAGTCGGCTGGCGCTTTGATTAGGAGGCTTACTCTGCAGTGACAGTATGTCTCAGCCTGAGCTCAAGAATGGTTCCTGTTGCCTTAAGGTGTCCAGAAACACTCGAGTTATTAATTGCATCCTACTACTACTTGACACTTACCAATACAGTCAATGGCCAGTTGTCCCAGTGGAGGGTAGTTACAGCGTTGGGCGAATTCAGGGCAGTACCACACTAGAAGC